TTAAAAAAAATGATGTAGAGAAATGCCATCAAATGGGCTTGAAAAACTCTAATACCATGGAGCGCAATGGCGCTTCGCCCCCTTGACCCCCGACCAGGGCTTTGCCCCTGGACCCCGATGGGGGCCTAGGCGCCCCCCCCTATACACCCGGCCTATTTCAATTTACCCTCCTGTTACTTTCAAATTTCTCCTGCTACTCAAATTCATAAATAAACCCCTGGACCTCTTTGTATTTTTATTTCAGAATTTCAGACAAACTCACATTCTCCGGTGTCTTAAAAAAGTACCTACATACAACAGAAAGTAACCCAATTCATCGTCAGAGGTAAGAGCATCATTGAGAAAAGATTGGTGATGCTACCCTTTGGAGTTTCAAAAAATGGAAATATTTAATGGACAAATATGCTTTTAAAATAGTTTATGCTGTAGAGATGTACTGTAACCCTTGGCTCCCTGGAGGCGACTATAATTGCCAAGGCATTCCACCATAGACTGCTGGAGGACTGGCCGAGCGTTAAGGCAGGGGCACGCTAACTACAGCCTTAACATCGATGCTGGTTCCAGCCTCTACTCGGCCAGGGTTCAGTTGGTAAAACCAAGTGTTCTCGGATACGGATTTAAAATGGCAGGTCCAGTGTACACATCTGGCTCGTGTGCACTTTAGAGAAGGCATTTTATCTTCTGTCGTGGAATGATGTTAACATAACCGTAAGTGCCTCTTTAAAACGGCTGAGGTAGTCATGGACCACGCCATATGCAATTCAGCACAATGGCGTTGCAAATTATGGAGTATTCTCCTACCTTTACCTGTACTATATTCATTTTCGGGGACTAGGGAAACAAAACATTATGTTTAATACATTAGTTACTTAAACTCTGTACCACCATTTAAATCTCTCTTTTACCTTTATATTAAATCAATAGTTAATCTATTTTTTTTTTAATTCAACATTTGTCAATTCAGTTTCTTTTTAACAAATGCCATCATTGGCCAATAATTATGTTGAAAAATTTGACATGTTTTAGAACCTAAAACAGCATATGCTGTGCTTTCAAAAACTGCCTATGATGATACTTCACACTCGTATTTTAATAGGTTAAAAGAATACATATGTGACGACATGGGCAATGTGGAAGCCTATATGGAGTATGACAGAAGCAGTCAACAAAGTAAAAAGTAAGCATTTTTCAGAAACCTGGTAGTTTTAAAAGCCTGTTTATACTTGCAACGATAACGATAAAAAGTTAAAAAGCAATTGTTCATACAGAAAATAATATAAATAAGAAACGTTTCAACACTACGACAATTCAGTAATGATTTATCATATATATGATAAAATATTTGTGAAATTATTTTTATTATTATTGTATACAAGATAAGTTGTTATCGAATCGTCCTAGTGAGAAAACTTTTCTTATTACTTTTATCTTTCTATAATTTACTTTTAGCTTTTTATTGTTATCATTATCGTTGCAAGTGTAAGCAGGCCTTAAGCGTTGCAACGCAAATGTGTTATTTAAGCGAAATCTATTATAACCCTCCCGCGTTCAGAAAATTTAACCATGCTTTAGTTAGGTGTAATGCTGTATATTGCCTTATTACGTCAATCAAAGGAGGTCATGTGTTCAGCACTGTCTGTCTGTCTGTTAGCAAGAATACGCAAAAAAAAAATGAATGGATCATCAAAAAATTTTGTGGAATGGTACATGATAGTCAAAGATAGAGACCATTCAATTTTCGAAAGACAAGGTCAAGGTCACAGAAATTCAATTGTTAACTCTCGGACATTAAAAAAAATATAATGAAAGTATTGTGTCTTAATACGACGGGCGATTACATTATTTTCGTGAGGGTATTTTGCAGCACTCAAGAAAATAATGTGCCTGAATACAACAGAAGATTACATTATTTCCTTGAGGGTATGCTGCAGCACTCAAGAATATAATGAAAAACAGTTAAAAGGATTTGTATCAGTTACGGTTAAAAAGATTTGAATGAGTTACCTCTCAGTTGCCTCTGCACTTTAGCCCCAAAATTTCAATTTTGAATTTTAAAGCTGGTAATTGTATTTATTTTCTGTGTACACATTAAATGTCAAGATCAGTGATCTCACAAAACACATTTAGTATCCAATCAGCATTAATTGATTAATTAATTCCATTGTGCTTATTTTAATAGGTATTAAAAACTTGATCTTGAAGCCTATTGAAGAAAACTTAAAAGGGAAGTTGGTCGTTGAGTTTCCCACAGTTCATGTGGTTCTGAAGGGTGATGGAAACGTTTATAAAACAAAAGGTAGGCCTAAATGAGTGTGTAGTGCTATAGAGTTTTGGTGATATTGGACAGTAGTAATAAAGCTTGGAAGCTGCAAATTTCCAAAATTAAAGATAATTATAGTGATGCCAAAAAAAAATTGTTGTGTTGCCCTTAAATGAAAAATTTGAGATCGTTTGTCGGTCGGATTTTTAAATTTTTTTTTTTGAAGTAATATCTGGAATTGGATAGGCCTGAATCTGCTGTCCTAGTATTATAAAGATCCCAGGCCTAAGGCCTCGTAGGCAGCACAATACAAAGATGGTAAGCTTGCCAAACCATAAATTTCAAATTAATGACGGAATAAATACTAACCATGTGTAGATTGAAATAAATTTAACAAAAATACATCTGTTATTTATTTAGAAATAATTATTTAGCTTTGAAACGTAAAATAATTTGTGCGTCCAATCCACATGATTACGATTGGACAGGTCGAGCAACACCATGGCTATGAAAAATGGTCTAACAAGCACCTTCTGTGTAATACAGTCGAAGTTAACTTTAAAAAAAAAAAAAGAAAATTAAATATTTCGTTCATGGTTGGCCTAAAACCGTAACAGAGCCTAGAATGTCTAGCTATGTACCGGCTTTAAAGCGATGGCTAGACCTAAGCCTGTTTTTATCTATTCCTCAGTAAACCTTAAGGTAATGAATTTGTTTGTTGATTCAATAATAATAATAATAATAATTTGCGCACTAGTTGTACAGTAGTAAAAAAAAGGCAATGCCTAGGCCTCTCTACGTCTAATCATGGCTTGACAGCTCAGCGCCAGAGATCCGATGTTGCGTGCATACTTCGTCGTCATCGCAGTTGGTTCTCAAAATTATGCCTTCTATTTTACCGATTTTATGCATGCATCTATGGCCCGATTGTGGTAAAGATACATGTCTGTTTTAGATTTTATTTTCTAAATGTTAATTTCAGAAGTGGTATTTCTCGCATTTGCACTTGAGTGAAAAATGACCTTTGAACAAAATTTCAAAAAAAAAAGCTGACCCAATTTTTTGAAAAATTTTGGTCGGTCGCGGAGGGCAACACAACATATTTTTGTTTGGCCAAATGATCATTAGTAATGGTTGAATGGATGACAGATGCTGCAACGGTGACAAAACAGCTGTGACGAACGATGACAGCACTGGTGATGCATTTTTTTTCACCTAGTCATTGTGTACTTTAAAAGCCATACCACTTCTCCCTAGTGGGGGGAGTTTCCAAATCATGTCAGTTGTAATGGTCTAGGTGTGAAGCCCAGGAAGGTAGCCTTATGGATAATCTCTGTTTAATACATTAACATTTTTATTGTGGTTTCTTTTGCCAATGTTATTGATTTTTTACTTTTTTTTTTGGTATTTTTTTGTTTTTGCTATTGCTGTTGTTTTGCCTTCTGATTTTTGCTATTTGTCTTGATATTATTATTTCTAATATTTTAAAACTGTGTATTTTATATGTGTGTTTGTTAAGGATCGCTTAATATCAGCTCTCCATTGAGCTGCACAGGCTATTCTCATTAAATAAAGTTCAAATTAATAAATAAAATAAATAGCGGTTATTTATTTAGCCCCCTGACTGAAAAAAAAATTTTTGTGAAGGGTTCCATGGAGAAAAAATAGGCCTACACTAAACAATCAATCATTCAATCAAAAATGTATTTCTGTAACTCATAAAACTTTTTGTCAACAAGTGTGCATTCTTTTTAAGAAAGTCTTGTTCTTAATTTCTTCTCACAGAAGATAACAAAAATGAAGTCACAAACATAAATCACATTATCACCAGTCCATCAAGAAAAGAAAGTATGCAAAATGAAACAATGGAGGATTCTAGTGAACAAGTAGAACTGGAGGAGGAAAGGGAAAATGATGAAGCAAAGGTGGAAACTGTTGAAGACATAAGCATCATCGCAGAGCAAAGAGAATTGAGTTAATGATACTGTACTTTGGTTAATGCAGACTTCTCAAGTTCGGAAAATGCATTTCTGTAACTATGTCTTCAAATTTCTGTAGTAAATGGAAAATTTCCGTAGCACCTAATAATTTGCCTTGAGTGCAAGATATTAGTTGCTACAGTACAGCTGTAGAATAGAACAAGCTGGACAAGATGAAGATTTATTGGTCACTTTTTAGGACAATCAGGTCCACTTTCAAATTGGGTTCGATCGACCTGATAATGGGCCATTTTTTCCTGGGCCCGATCGATTATCTGTAATTTGATGTGGAATTTCAAACAAACGGAACAGGATGAAGACTTATGGGGTATTTTTTCTTAGTTTTCACAATGATTTATCAGTGATCCGACAAGTATTTGTCTATGGAAAATGTAACCAAAGATCCTGATATAAAAGTAATTTGTTCTGGACTTTAGACCTATTTGTTTATGTCTCTATGCCTATGATAAATTTCTGTAGTATTTTTGTCTATTTCTATATGTCCGTAATTATGATATATTTCTGTGGCATCTAGGCCAAATTACAAGAATTTCCGTAGTACTTCAGAAGTCTGTTAATGATGCATTTTCTACTTGAAAATTATATGTTTAAGCAATACTGCCTTACAATAGAGAATATAAAAACAGGAATAGAGCCTAGAATGCTCATTGAGAGCATAATAATTATAATAATGCAAAAATGATAATGCGCCCTATTCAAAGTTAAAAAATAACTTACCTCCGCCGCTAAGGGAAAAATTGAAAAACAGCTGCAGAAGAACCCATACAAAGAACAGAAAACAGATAAACGAACAATACGCCCTTTACACAGCTATTGCAGGATGCCTGTAGTCATTTGTATGCTTTTATTAGCCAGTACTGCACTATACCCAGTTTGTTTATCTGTTTTTCCACATGATGCAGTACTTTTATAGATGGCGGTAGATTTACTTTTTCTCTTATCATCCTGCCAGTGCAGACCGGACTACGCTCTTGTTCTACCTGTAGTCTTTGTTTATAATCAAAAATAGAAATTATGGCATCACTGTCTACTTAGGTTTGAATTAAAATATTTTCTTGTATGTAAGTTTTGTAGCCATTAAACTATAAATTTTCATTCAAATTATGTATTTTCTGTTAGCAATATAATGAATTGGTAGAAGACGTTCGCGCGGCACATACTAACCAACACAGGTCAAGTGAACTGGAGGAAAAAGAAATTAGTGACAACGAGGAAGTCATAGAAGGATAAATAATATTTAAATGCAGACCAAGAATCACTTTAAAGATTGAGCTATGAACTTGAACACAAAAATTGTTTGACATCATCTCCGAGCATCCATTTATTTCCCAATAGATGCTGAGCTGTCAGCGCCTTTGCATTCATTTCCCTACCTTTTAACTGCACAAAAAATAGCATTCATAAAGACAGTTGAATGACCATCAGCTTACGAATATATCAATTTTTGAGACAACACAATACCGTCAGCTGATTGTGGAGATTAAAAATGATCCATTTACCTGCCTCTTCATCAGTGGCGTAATACATACCATTGTACGACCAATCCATTACTTGTCAGGTGTGGTGAGGGCCTGGCTTAACAGCTATCAGCTGTCACAAAAGATTTTTAAAAAATCTATGAGCTGTCAACAGCTACAGCCAGGAACCTGGGATATTCATCAGCATTTTTTATTTTCCCCAAAAACAAAAAAAATGCATCAAAATACATTGAAGCAGGGGAAGGGTTTACAGCCCCCAGGGAAGCAGGGCTCAGGCTTTTTTTAGACCATTATCAGCAGCAGTGTGTACCAAGTTTTTTCTCTCAGATATGAAATGAGTTCGAATTAATGTTTGACAAAATTCATTGCTGCAAATCATAACGAAGATCGTATAACAATCTGTTCAGACTTCCACCGACAATCAGCAGAATGCGTCACAACGTCTAGTGCTCACAGGGATCGCAGTTAGATTCGTTGTACGATGCAGTTCGTGCTTGGATTTACTCTCGACATTACTATGCTTGGCCAAAGGCAACAAGCAATAAAGCCAGACTTGGTAGTGCATTGAATGTAAATTAGGGGCTTACTAGTAGTACGAGTGGACTGCCTCTATAGGCCTACGCCCCACCTTCCTACTACGGGGCTCTAACCGGTATCCTGCAGTAGGCCTAGTATTACGCTATTCATCCGTATTTACGTTATTAAAGTGAGTGAAGTCATTGACGGCGAAATTGGCAAAGGTAATGGTATTTTAAAGGAAAATAGCGACCGACAATTAAGTACAGTTCACATCGACACATTATTGTAAAACAATATCTACCTGTATTCTGTCTGTAAAACAAGACAGTAACATTTATGAAAATGAATGTGAAATCCAAATATCGTTTTTAACATAGAATATTCTCTAGAAATAATGAAACATACATTTACTTTCATCGTACATAAAAATTGATTGAATAGTTGGATTTAAATGCGGTTTTCAATGATTTCAACAGTAAATTGCACTCGATATCGATGTTTTCGTTACTAATAAACTGTTAAACTGACTTTCACCTACAAGTAGGTTAGTGATATATTCGCTATTAACAATCCTTAGTACATGTGTTTTGTGCCTAAATAAATAAATAAAATAAATAAACATAATAGATACTGCTCATGCTGTAAAAGAATCTACAGTTTCGTCTGTCTTTTTCTCCAATACCAGACCTGTTGACGTCTCCAACAAATTTAGTTCTGCGCATGTTCGGCAGTCGGAATGCTTAAACACCAATAGACCGTAATATTCTGGCGAATAACGTCGAATATTTTTGTAGTAATTGCCTTATCAGCAAATATACAGCTGCGGATTTCAGTATTGTTTCTCCAGTCACTATAATATCTCTATGCAGAAAAACCATCGGTTTTTCTCATATTTTCCATAAAGGGTGATAAACCATTTCTAATAAGCATAGCTGACGCACTATTATGACGTGGTAATCTAAATATCATTCCTAATGCGTTCTTGTACTAAACTTGCAATTTCCTTAGAGTGTCACGTCTGCATAGGACATATCTATACAAAGACGGTCACAATAAATACAGCCATAATCTTATTCATGGTTTGTAGTGAGAGCTTGGTTTATTGTGCAACCACAGGTGCCTTAGAACTTTGGGCAAAATAATATGCAAACAGATTTTTTAGCATTATATGATATGTTCAGATGCATATTCCTCACAAGTATCAACAAACGTTTGCAACCCATTGAGAGAGATTTGGCAATTATCACCATATCATCAGCATAATTGAGGTGATTGGTTTTTTACATCAGAGACATTACAGCTATATTTAAACTTCTTCAAGGGGTATTTAAATCATGAATATAAAAAGCATAGAGTAAAGGGCACATATATGTGCTTTAAATCCGACTGTATTTAACATGCCTATTTAAAAAGTAAACATCCTAAAATCCTCATCATTCATTGATTGTGCTGCAGTGTGTAGCCACGTAATAACGCAGATACTGAAGCGGCGGTATTATTGCCAACCACTTTATGCGCACTGAACCATATTTATGACCATGTGTCTGATTATATTCCATCAACCAAAATTTCCAGTGCAAATAATGTTAAGCACCATCCTACTCTTATTTTTTAGTTGTCTCCAGGTTTAGGTACCACTTAAAAGTCATCTAGAGGGATTGTTCAGATTTGCGTCGCCCCCTTGTTCTTCAGAAGGATTTTACTTGTAATTCATAAGTTACTCACAAAAAATAGGACCTGTTTTTCCAATTAAGTTGACGTTATGAATTTGAATGCGGATTCTATGGTAATAAATTTTAAATTTTAAAAAAGTGCCAAATACAAATAAGGCGAAGTTAAGAACAAAGATACTGTACATGTGTGCTGAGTATTCAGGCGACACTCAAACAAATTTAAATGATACCATTGTGAAAGAATTGAATTTGGCCTATGTTTCTTTTAATGACCTTTGTACTATTTTCAATAAACGATTCATATTGCAGCACCGACAAGGAGAAGGGCATGTCAACTTAAGTAATGTTTTTATCAAATTACCCTAGTGCTGCAGAGCATTCTTTACCAAAGTCTGCTGCATTCTCTCCCTTGGTAGAAACATTTGTTTTAGGTGAACGTACAGTAAATTAACTCACTAGCTTTTATGAATAGAAAATCTGGACTGGAAATTGGGAACAACTTTCAACCGCAGTAATATCTCAATTGTAACCAACATTTCAGGAAAATGGAGATAAGCCAGAAGAATTCATTGTAACATATTTCTATTCCATATTAAATCTGCTCTTTGGAATCATTAGCAGCCACTTTTTAAATTTAACATGGTGGTAGATTGCAGGCTGAAAGTCGCATCTACAATTTTTAATTCAGCTTCTAGCGTATACTATAAACAGATTTCTTTGTCAGGAATCCAGGATATTTCCTTTTATTTCTTCAAATGAGGACACAAAAAATGACACCAAATTTTAGCATGCATACAATATATAAAACAGTACTACTCTAAAGCGAATTATACTGCAAAATACATGATTTAATACTGTTTGTGAAGTGTGACTAAAGATACTTGATAGTGTTTGCTCGGTGTAAGTCTACGTTCATTATACACACAAAAGAAACGTCTTTTATTCATCGTGCTAGCCATAAATATATATATGAAAGAATTATCTAATATATAAAACAGTACTTCTCTAAAGTTAATTATACAGAAAACATAAAATGATTTAATGTTGTTTGTTAAGTGTGACAAAATTATACTTAATAGTGTTTGCTCAGCGTAAGTCTACATTCATTATACACAGAAAAGAATCACCTTTTATTTATCGTGCTAGCCATATACATTTTATGAAAGAAATATCTAATATATAAAAGAGTACTACTCTAAAGCAAATTATACATAAATCATAACATGATTTAATACTATTTGTTAAGTGTGACTATATATACTTGATAGTGTTTGCTCAGCGTCAGTCTCTACATTCATTATACACACTAAAGAAGCATCTTTTATTTATCGTGCAAGTCATATACATTTTATATACCGGTATTAGTAAAATTCAAACTGAATATCTTGTTCTTGTAAATAATTAATAAATGAATAAACACTGGTACATTAAACTAAAACGTGCTGAAACCTCAAAATTTAAGTATTTATTACCGATTCATTCTTGATCTTTTCTCAGTAATATTGATATTTCTAAAGAAAATGTACTATTATTCTTGTATTAATCAAATATTACCTAACAATATGTGACTACACTGTTGTTTGTGTCACTTACGCTTGTTCGAAATACAGTGTTTAAAAATAAAACTCGATTGCACTACATCGGTGAAATATTCGTAATAACGTCACATAAAATGATCTACGCACGTGAGAATGTTGAGTTTCTTGTCAGTGGCGTAACACTAGGCCCGGAGGCCCTGGGATTTCTGAGATCTTTTTCGGTCCCGGTCGCCAATTTTATTGTGGTGTTTACATATGTTTTTAAATTATGTCTATCTAAGCTATTTGATTATAACTTCTCTTACACGCTGAAGAAGGTTGTAGGAACAACCGAAATATACGTGAAACTTATAAATAAATATTTTTGTGTTCCTTAAGTCTACCTTCGATGTCTGTATTTTCAATTACCATCGTCTCCATATTTTTCTATATATATATATATATATATAACTGACACTGTAAGTGCTACTTTTAAATAAGTTCCATGAAATATCTAAGTATGTATTATACTATCTTATCTGAGATTAATTTTGGTTTTTATGTTCTAATATAAAGAATCGTGAGAAAGACACAATTGTAAGTCTACAAGAACTGACACTGTAAGTGCTACTTTTAAATAAGTTCCATGAAATATCTAAGCACAGTTATGCTATGCGCTGCTTACACTATATAGTATACCGTTATTAGCTTATGTAAAGAGGCAGATGCAATATATTTATTTTATTTTATTTATTCTTTCTTTTGACCGGATACATTTTCAATACAAAAGTACTGTCCTACCAAATGGTCAAGTTATTTTTAACAATTTTAGGAATAGAAACTTAATTAAAATTAATATAATCGAAATACAAAATCATTAGAATTAAAAAACAAAAACAGCAACAAAAGGCATAAAACATGAAAGAAAACAGAACAGAATTTAAATATATGATAAAATTCAAAATTAAGAAATAGCACTTTTAAAAATATCCAAACACATATTGGTTGCATTTTTCCTTAATGTAAATTGGTAGGTTATTCCATTCTTTGGCAGATCTATACTGAAAGGTTCTTTTACCATGATTGTTATTCCAGTTTGGTACAATTAAAGTGTTGCTACTTTTGCTACGGGTGCATTTAGAGTGAATATTTTCATTAAAGACAAGCATAGACGAAAGATGATGGTGCATACCCTTGTAGACACTTATAAATAATTATGTGTAACTGATTTCTCCATCTTTCATTGAGTTTGCTCAATTTAAGTGTGTTCATTATTTCATAATATATTAACAGAAAGTACAACTCTACCTAGTCTATTTAGTAAAATTTGCAGAGTATTTAAATATTGTATATTGCAATTCCTCCAAGCGCAACTACAGTAATAAAAAACTGGCATCACAAGGGCATTTGCCATCATAGTAAGTGTTTGGTAAGGCAAGTAATATTTGATGCGACGTATGACACCAATTCGTTTTGATGCAATATGACTTATATGATCCTTCCATGTCAATTGAGGATCAAAAATTACACCCAAATATTTAAATGATTCCACTCTTTCTATGCAATCCCCATTATGGACACAGGAAATATCTTTAAAATGATTAAGAATGTGAGTAGTACCAAAAATCATAAATGTAGTTTTATTAACATTGAGAGTTTGGTCAAACTTTAACCATTTAGATATTTTGTTGAAGTTTGAATCTAATTCATGTTGGAGTGTGATAGGGTTAGAGGAGCTACATCATCATCATCATCATGAGTGGTATCATCGGCATACATTACACATTTACAAGAAACAACATATCCATAAGCCCACCCTCAATTTCTACTCTGTTTTCATAAGCGCCCCGTTTGAATAAACGCCCTTCAAAATGAGCCAAAATTATTATAGGCGCCCGGGCGCTTATTTGCGCGAGTATGGTAATCCAATTATATTTTATGACCAAAAAGTTCCTTGGGACTCCTGCTTAGCTCCTGTGGGTGAACTTTAGACCTACTATTACAATAACCATATTTATCTGAATTAAAAATGTTCTCAATTACATTGGGACAGAAATGGGGTATGTACAGTATTGGGAGATGTATTGTCAAGTAATGTAGTTTATATATAGTAATCTATTGTGAGTCCATGAGGTGTGCCTTGTAAATCATAAAACATGATGTAAACTCTGATTTGTAACTAAAGAAATAACTGAACAAGATGATATGCATCATGCAACCTATCTTCTTTTAGTGGTCATGAATAACTGTTCTCTTTTATCAAAACTAATCCTGACATTTATATAGTATTTGTAATTATTTAGAATACATATCAAATGCCTAAATTTCTTTTCTCTGATATTGATGTACTAAGAAATATTTTCAATGAAATTATATTCCAAAATAACGTAGTATTGGCAGACACCTTAAAATGATGACAAAAATGACCTTTATCAATTCAATAATGTTTTTATTTTAATATATTATGTAGTCATCCATATACATATCAATTCATCCTATTTAAAGGGAATATTTTGTATCCAACCTTTTTTGATATTTGTTTCATTTTGCATCAGTCGGCCTAATTTTCCACTTAGCTCTACATGCCTCTCAATGTGACTGAATGTAACATTTATGTTGAAGATGAAACTACGGCACACTAATAATTATCCTATTAGCATAATTTAACCAATTAAAATTGCTTTGCAAGAGAGCAATTATTTTCATTAAAGTGAAACTATTAATTTAGTATATAAATCTGGTGATCTTCATATTTGATATTTGTCAAGACATTTTTTTGTTTGTTACACTCTTTCTACTGTAAGTGCCACAAGAACGGCAGTATTTATTGGGTTTCCATGGACGATAGATGAACTCTTTGATCACTTTCTATATTACATAATAAATAGTGTTATTTAAATTGATCATTACGTTATAAATCATTAGCAAATAAAGATGATTCAGTATTCACTGATTTTACAGTAATGTAAGTAAGCAGTTTAGTCACATAGAAATATATTCTTGGCAAGATTATTAGTTGAACAAAGGTAATACATTCAGGATCCATTATAAACAATATAAATGTATAAATATTTTACATAACTTTTAGCAATTTCGTATTATGTTCGTCACTTCCCCATAAAGGGACGATTTGACATCCTTGATTTTTATCAGTTAAACTTACTACTTATTACAAATATCGCATCTTGTAATTCCAACAAAAATCTATGGTGTTTATTACTGTACAACAACTACAGTATACTTTGAAATAATATTTATATTTGAAATATAGTATTTTAGGACTTCATACATTATGCGACTGCCTCTTTTAGAATTATTTTTTCTTCAACTTCCCGCCACTGTGAATGGTGGCTTTGTTTAGTGGTCGTGTTTGGTATGTCAAATGCATTGGACTGTATAGAATGTGTTGATCATGCAGTAAAATATTCATGCTATAATCGCCCGGCTTGCGCAGGTTGTACGTGACGCAGTATTTTCCTTCAGAGTATGATGTGTTACAGTAAATCTCTTCATTTTTATTGCGAATAAACCGTGCAACAAATGGTAAATTAGGAGGAAGCATCTGTGCACATCCATCTCCGTCCATTGCAACCACTTTGACCCGGTAGGGCCGGGTGTTACCGTGATGCTCTGGAATGAGTGTGGGAACCCAAACCGGAATATTAATGGGTTTTTCAAGCAGTGAATGACCAAATACGGTGGGATTTAGTTTGTACGTGCCTAATGTTTGTGGTGTAAATGAGATGGTGTGTGTTCCATCTTTATTGTTTGTAAGTTCAGTGGGTAGAGATTGCCCAGTTGGGCCAGTTAGAGTTAGGGTTAATAGTTCGCTGACATCATGCCCATTGGTATTGACCATCTCGATCTTTAACTTATATCGCCATCCTTGTAATGCCGCACCTTTATCAAGGATGAACATTGTAGGTTTCCGATTTAGTACAATAACGTCACCTAATTTCTGTAAGGCATTTGTAAAGACATTTATGTTACGGATGTATCCCAGTATTCCAATTTTTTCATGCTTTTCCTTTTCTTCTAGCATATCAAGCTCAGTGAGTGTGTTACGCATGCGTTGACTTTTTACATGTCCTGTGGCAGTTTTCCCTAATGTCCGTGATTTTTGTGGTAATCTATCGTCAAGCATTACCAAACTTTTCTTTATCTCGTTACGCTTATCAAGTATTTTGCTTCGTAAATCCCTATACGACATACTGACCTCTGTTAAGACTTCTTGTTCTCGTTGATCGAGAACGTCACGACAATTTTGAAATGTTTTCATTACCTCTTTCTGAATGAGCGTCAAGTTAGTGTTTAGTTGTTTGCCTTTGTTGTCAATCTTGCGTAGACTCTGTTGAATAAAGTTCCTTCGATCTTTAATCTTATGCGCAAGGTATTTAATATCTTCTTCATTCTCAACCTTCGGAATCTGTGAGATAGCGACTAGTTTATGGTGAGAGCCTTTGTGATACTCCACTGCGCAAATACCACATGCAGCTACGCGGCAATTGTGACTGCTGCAGAATAATGTTAAAGCCTGGTTCTTGTGTAAAGTGCACATCATATACTCGTGGATTATTGAGTCCAACAGACCATTGTTTGTGGATGCCGTGCTTGAAATTGAAGCAATAGTCTCCCCAGATTCATTAAATAACGTGGACTTATGAATGCTGTTACCGTTTTGATAATACCCCATTGTAGAATCTTCAGATCGACTGAATTCACAACTACTTTCTGTATCAAAGTAAAAGCTGTTTGGATCCTGATAAATGTTTGACTCCTTTTTTGTTGCCAAGACAACATCTGGATCTTGGTACACGTTTTCAACCGGGCACTCAGCGGATTCGTAATCATGCTGTTTCAGCTCCTCGCATAAATCATAGCTGTTAAATTGGTGTGTGAAGCAGTCACCCAAGTTGTTAGATGTATCAACATCTGAATCTGCCGCTTCGCTGTATTCAGGTGAAATACAGTGTGAACACACAGTTTCAATGCCGCTATCATTTGTAAACTTACTTGATGTGAAACTTGCATTTGAGAATTTTACCAAAGAGCGCAGTCGGCGCATTAGTGATAATTTAAGCACTGAATCAACTACCGTGAATTTATCGCTGAAAATGTGGCCAGTTCTTCTACTAGATGTATCTAACAGGTGAGACAGTGTTTCATATTCAGTGTCGTAAGTACTGAGGCTGTAAATACTATCTATTGAATGCCGAATACATTTTTTCGCTAGCCGATTCCGTGTGCCAATTCGAGGCTGGGTACTTCCAAAGTACCCCTCAATGCTCTGAAATTCCTCAGGAGTGAATGCCATCTGGTCAAGATGATCAAAAACATATGATCATTCTAAAATTTAAACTGACAGTTTCAGTTGAACTTACAAATTTTGGCTTTATGTACTCGCTGTGACATTCAGCTTGACAATAAGCCAAGTAGGGGAAACGTTAATAGTGAAACAAATGAAATGCCCCTTTCAGTTTCATAGCTCCATTGGCTGGCCGCATCCAGTGTCCTGAAGCAGTGTGGGCTGCATTAATATATTACTAGCGATAAAGAAAAATGAATGCGTGTTCTGAGAGCTGTTGCAGACTATCAAGTGACGGTGATCCAAATGACGCAGCCGATCATAAGAAAACAGCAATGATGTCATCAGTTCTCATACGAGTGAGCAGAACTGAAGGCCCAGTATTAGAGAATGCATGATTTTAATTTCCAGGGGAGAGATTTCATTTCTAGTCCCTAGAGAAGCAGAGCTTGCAGCTTCCTGTTGAGTAACTTGCTATGAGACACAAGTCTTGTTTATTACAAGAATTTTTAAAGATAAATACCAGCACTGTTCACCTCCTTTCAATGCTTGTTATACCCCTCACCTGAAACAATAAGCAATATTTTATGACTAGGCTATAATAATGAGCATTTTAATCAAATACAATAACTTTTTTAATAGTACTTTACAAAATTAAGAGACTTGAAGGACACAAGTACAATTATGTTTAAAATATTTTGACTTTTGACTTTATTATTTTAATATTGATATTATCTTATTCATAATTGTTAATACCATTAACTAATATCCATACTATTAATACCATTACTGTTATTTTTTTAATGGATATTTGATTAATTTTGAATGTTCATACTTTATCATGTTAGACATTTCCAAGTATATTTTGTTATGGATGAAAAACATTCTTTAATGATTTGGTTTCTTAACCATAATTTTGTAAATATGAGGTTTGTTTTGTTGAAATTTTAAAGTAATTTTATGACCTTTTTGTGTTGTATTTAGAGTCAGGTTCCAAAAGCTTTTTAACTCTTTTTTTCTTAATGTTATTAATGAAAAATGTAAATGTTATATTATATATTATATTATTAATACATTTTTTGAAGAAATGCAATTTGACCAATTACCAAAAGTCCACATTTTCGAGGGTAGAATATTAAAAAATCACCCCCCCCCCCCATTTATCAAAATTACTTTTAAAAAGAAAAGAAATTTATATTCAAATCTAAGTCAGAGAGTGCCATCTCCGGCCATCTAGAGGTGCCATAATCATTAATTATCTTAGGTCAGCCCCAACCATGGTGGGGCTGTGGTGTTATCAACTCTCAATCAATGCCATCTCCATCTGTGAAAATCCCTCCCTGGCCCCTCTTTAAATTTCTAGATCCGCCACTGAAAACCATGTATGCATCTTAAGAAATCGATTAACTAAGACCTAAAATTATCAAAAATGCCTGAGCTCCAACCCCTCGATCCCAGCAGGATCCCCTCCTCTAAGCACCCCCCTCCCATCTTGGTCCAATCTCTACAAATTCGCACCCACCCAATACAAATTCTGCATATGAGCCTAGAGTACAATGTGTACTCTATTATCTATTTGCAAGGCGGAAAGCAAGGAAACATTTTTTAATTTGTTTCTGTCTTTTTGTTTTTTGTTTCAGGTAGTTACAAACCAGCTAAAAAAGCGAATTCTTACTTTTAGGCCATCCGCTGTAGCTAAAAAAGTGACCAGAAAACAAGTTCTGTTCCAGAATAATGGAGACTATTTTTTGGATGCATATATTGTTAATTCAATCCATTCTACACATTGTGTTAAAATTTCTCTGCAAAAAAAAACCTGCAGTTTTTTGTCAGGACACCTCCAAACATGCTTAATATACCCCAAACGGGTCTGATACCATGTTTAGGCGTTAACAACTAATTATCTGATAGTCAGAATTTTCAGCGTTGATAGAAATTATAATTTTAATTTGACAACTAAAAGCTGGTGATCAAATTCTTATTGGCCTTTATGTAATCAGAACTGGAAAACAATTTACTCAGGAAAACTCATTTTTTACAACTAAAATGCTATGTGTACTATTAGTAACTATAATGAAAGTGGATGCTCCCAATTTTTAACGTTGATAGGAATGACATTCTTTTTATGATATTAATAATTTAGTAATTTAATTTGCAACAGTCATTGAAAAAAAAAATGGCTGTTTGTTTAAAAATACCTTCTTTATTTAACTAATATGCTATGTTTAAGCATTCATAACTTTAAAAATAATTATACCTGATGCTTAGAACTTTCAATATGGATAGAAATAGTTATTGTTAAGTGATACTCATAATTTGATAGCTTATTGGTATTAGTCTAGTTTATAAATAAAATGGGAATATGCCATTTTCCAATATATATTATTAACTTTTATTTTAACATGTTTACACGCAACCATAACTTAAAAAGCAAATACTGTGATGGATGTTCACAATTTTAGACATTGATAGGAAAAGAACTGTTGAAAGACACTGAGATAATTTTGTAACCTAATTCAAAGTACCTTTCCGCACTCTCTGTAGCCCAAAATCTGCTGTTTTAGGACTCCTGTCAAGCCCATCCCATATAGGAGGGTTGACATGGTACAATTAGAGTTGGAGTGTTCTCTCCTGGGGCCAAATACTTTTCACAAGTCTCCTGAATGACTTTTTCGTCCAGCCTTTCTTTTAACATGTTGTTAATAGAAGCAGCAATTTCCACAGGAATATTGGCTGTCAGGGTCAGATCCAGAGATGTCCAAAAGGGGGGGGGGGGCTGAAATTTGGGCCGATCGAGACAACACTGAACTAGGGGGTCCGGGGGCATGCCCCGCAAAATCTTTGTGTTCTAGACGCCCGAAAATAACATTTGAGACGTTCTGGGCTATCGTTTTTTCTTTTTTCGTTTTTTTACCTCTCAAAAGGGGAGCCCGGTGCCTGGGCCGGGCCAGCCCCCCCCCCCCCGGCCGGGCCGCCCCCCCCCCCCCTAAATCCACCCCTGGCTGTTCAGATGTTTTAACTGCTTTGAAGTTATTCTGCATTGTATTTTTGTTGTAAGCAGGGGTGTCCCCTTCTACAACAGGACCATCAGTGTGACACAGAATACTAATAGTATCATCGTCAGTGTCTAAAGACGAAACATCGTTGTTAGGCTTATTAGACCTAGGCCTACACAACATGTCTGAGTCAGAAAGTGTAGACTGCTCCATCATATTGCTGTTTGTTTTTTGTTTCAACAGGAGCTCAAGTTGATTCTTCACCTTTGATATATTTGACAATACAACCGCTGATTCGGTAGCTGAGGTCTTTCTCTTTTTGAGTTTTAGTTTAGGATTTACCTCGACCTTATGGCTAAACTTAGTCTTCTTGGAGCGAGACATAGCTGGGGGTCCCCCTTCATCTTTCCTCCGCTTCCCGCCAACAGCAGACGACGCCCTTGGTCTAGCTCCAGGTCCACTACTAGCGGGCAAAAGTTGGAACATTCTTCAGTACACCCGGATCAGGGATGGCGCCGGGGGGGGGGGCGGAGGCCAAGAGTGCCCCATCGGGGAGAGCTGCTCTCTGATTTGCGCATGCGCACGCTCATATCTCATAGAATCTCTTCCATGAATTACGAAATGAAATTAAGTCTTTTAACCCACATTTATATGCAACAGAATCATGTATCACACTACACAGATTATATCACTCTCAAATATTGAGATATCACATGTGCATATTATATTCCAAACTCCTTTTACCGGTGAATACAATGTTCATTGATAAGAACACTATACGAGTGGTAACATGTGGTGTAGCAGTAGGCTTTCGGTGTTTTCATGGGTTTGAGTCCTTCACTTTACTCGGTATAAATAGGTTCCAGCATAGTATTGTACTGAATTTAAAGTCGCATGGCTAGCAATACTCAATGGGGAGTGGAGTAGGTTGAGTTTTAATGTATCCGTTGAGGCTGTCATAAGTGATTACTTTTCTTTCCATCTCGCACTAAGGAATAATTATAAAAGGATGCCATCGATATTTACAATTAAATTATAACAGCAATCTATTGTTTGTTTTTTTTATTTAATTGATAGTAACAGTACAAGTTAAAAGCTTAAATCTAAACATAATTGCATCACACTTTTATCATTCCATCTGTAAATACATCAATATAAATTGTGTAAAACAATATAAATATTTAAAAAAAAATTATATTTCAATAACTCTAAAATTTTGAAAGAACTTACATTAATTATGATACCTGTATAGACGAATCATCACCAATCAATATGATTATTGTAAAATATTTTATGGCTATGTTAAGCGGGGCTGACGTTAAGCCTGGCATAACTTTGCCAACACGACAAGGTCAACACGAGACCAACGCAGCGATTAAAGCCTGGCCTAGAAAAGTTTAACATAGTGCCATGCCTGGACTAGTTACTATAAAAACACAGCCTGGCTTGAGATAAGCCACCTAGTTCAGACTGGCAGGTGGATAAACCTGGTGAATTAAACCGGGTTTATCTACCTAGTCTGAACTAGGCTTTAATTATTATTATTTATTATTATTGATATAACTATAATATTATTAGTATATTAAATTTATTATTATCAATATTAATGGTTTTTCTCATAAACTAATATTACTATTTTCGATATATAATTATTATTATTATTATTATTATTAATAATATATAATACATATTATTATATATATTAATATATTGCTTCAAGAGAATAATGCTGATAAGATCTGTGTATTAAGAAGTAAGCACCAGTAATGAATGAGGTGTAAGGATTCTGTAATGCTTATAATTACATTAATTTCCCATCATGCACTGGCCAGAATGTGTATGTGAACTTTTAAGGTTTCTTCTTCTTTACAATCTTACCATTCACAGCTGCCAAGGTGTTGATAGTCACTATGGATACAAAAAGAGGAAGAAGATAACGCGGCAATCAATCCTCTATACATGTAAAAAGGGATTTTAAAAATTAGTGTGCAGTAACCGACGTTAGACAGGAAATTAATGAAATGAGAGAGGAAACAACAGCAGAAAAGAGAATACTTATAATGATCTTATCAGGGGGTTAAGGTCACTTGATAATGATCTGGAAAATTATCATGAAAGGATGTTTTTTACTGACAAAACCAGTCAGATATATAACCAATCAGAGACGAAATAACTCTAATGTAACCATAGAAGATTACTGGTGTATCTTTGTCATCATTTTTATATATTCTTGTATTAAAGATATATTTTACAAGCCTATAAGTAGTGATAGTTTTTCACTGTTAGTTTGAAATGAATAAATAAATAAATTATAGTGTCATCTTTTTAATATCAATATAAATTAAAAGTAAGCAAATTCAAATTAATATTATTGTTCAAGTTTATTAGCTAAACAAAAACAATATCTTTAATAAATTTTATTCATATTGTAATTTATAATAAATAGAAAAATAAGTATGAAAGAATGATAATAAAATAAGTAGGTTTATGAAGTTTAGATTCAACTAAAACAA